CTCTCTCCCTCTCTCTCGTATTTTCAAGGTAAACTCGAGCAAGTTCGATGGGCCGCGGCGGATTGAATCCCCTTTGTCCCGGAGCGACCAACTTCGCGAAATCGATCAATCCGTCCGATTACAGTTCGCTCCGGACCCAGATATTACTAAAGTTCGGGAATCCACTTTCGTGGAATTTGATATAGACGCTCAGTTTTGTCGGGGTTTCTCCCGTTCGAGCGAGTCGCTCCGCGGACGGACAACCGTCGCGACGACAATAGTCGCTCATTATTGTTATAATTTGCCATAATTGCGCCGATCAACACCGCTCGTTCGCCCGTCTTTACACCTCGAACGGAAATTCTTCGAAATGCGAAATCCCCCTTGTCGCGTCTTGCAGGCGTCTTGGCGGCGGCGATCCCGAAACTCGACCTGTTCACCGGTCTGGTCGGCGCGATGTGCATCTCCACTTTGACCACGTTAATCCCGACCACCTTGTACATCCTCGTGCATTACGAGGATTTCGGAAAATTCAAGTGGAGACTGGTGCTAGGCGTTATGATGTTTTCCGTCGCTCTCATCGCGGCCATGTGCGCTATGACGACCAATCTGATTCTAATCGTGAGATTTCTCAAGTACGGTTACGATGTATGATCATTACGCTTTAAACGACACTCTCTCTTAAACAAGATTTCGGTTGATATTTTTTGTTTAGCGAATAATTTCAAATGAATCGCGCGTCGATATTACGTAATAATTACATAGTCGCCCCAAATATCGTCTTAGTTGAGTAAGAACTAACTTGGAATCTACTCGAAGAGAAGTAAAGTTACTCGGCGAGTAACATTTTCTAGCTCATCCAGAGACTGGATTGCGAATACGACTAGTGTGATCGCGGTTGTTCCGCCGCGCGGAGAATAAAGCGCGTTAACGATCCATTCTCTTTTTTTCAGCGACTAAAGCCAAAGCGCGCGCGAAAACGACGGTGTGTTATCTTAATCTAGTCTCTGTTCGTAGCCCGCAGCCCGATGAAAATGCCGTCGGCGCGTCGACTGGCGTTTTCCACTTTTGTCTTCGGGCGCGGCTAAAGCCGCCGTTTACGCGCGATTCAGCCTAATCACGGCAACGGCGACGGCGTAGCGGCTGGAAAAACCGCGAAAAAGGCGTGAAGCTCCGGGCGGGGGACAAAAAGCGAGAAGAGAGAGAGTGCGGAAAAAGGGAAGAGAGAAAAGAGGGAATATAGCGAGGAGAGAAGCGCGCGCGACGTATAATCGCGTCAGATCACCGAGGCGTCAATGGCTGCTGGGCTTATCACGCACACACGCGGGGGGGCACACGAAGATGAAGAGGAAGAGGGAGCAGGCGAGAAAGAGAGAGACGAAGCGACACACGTGGAAACTGGCAGACACGTATCGACGTCGAATGCACGACCGTGTGGGTGCACGCGAAGGCCAGGGGGACGGCGTTGCGCAAACGGGGCTGAAGGGTGGACGGGGAGCTTCCTCTCTCTTTCTCTCTATCTATCCACAGGAAAAGGAACCAAAGCGGCGACGGCCGGCGACGGCCGGCGACGGCGGCGGCGACGAGAAGAGAGAACCTCTATATAGCGGGACACGGAAGGGTGCTTTCATCACATAGAGAGAGGACACAACCCCTTTTAGTGGCTACCGCCGCGTCCCCGCCGCGTCCTCCACGTCCTAACCTACCGTGCCCCTCGCACCCTGGCCGCTCGTCCTCTCTGTCTATCTCTCCCTCTGTCTCTCTCTCTCCCTCTCTCTCAGATTTACCCTTACAGACTGCCTCCGCCTGGCCGCTCATCCGTTTGCCAGTTCAAGGTGGCTGCGTTCATTACCGGAGGATACACCCGGTATGGTGTGGGATTCCACCGAACCCGTCGGCTCCCCTCCTCGGTTCGTCGGGCCAACTCCCCGAGAAAACGTCCCGTTTAATAATTATATCGATAAATCGGCTGCAAGGCCGCGACGTTGTTCGCGGCAGCGACGCGAGAATCGCGAGAGTGCCGAGTGCCATTTAAATGAACGCCACAGAGAGATATTTACGTTGAAATTAACAGCGCGGTATAAAAGTCATACAACAAATATATTAAACAATGAATCCCTTTATTAAATGTGCATGTATTCCGATTTCGAATTTATTGTAGCGTCATCATTTCGCGGAAATAGCGCGTCCGATAGTTTAAGGGTGCGACCTCCCGCGCGAACGCCGTTACACCTGTTGGAACGCGTGCAAAGATAATCGCCAAAGCGCGTGAAAGTATCGTAGCGAAATTGGACGAGCACGTGCGCGTCCCTCCTGCGAGTAACGAACGAGAGACCGTCACCAAGATTTTTCTTTCTAATTGGAACGAAAAGAAGCCGCTCCCGCGCAAAATTGCGGGGATTAACTGGCGGCACGGAGCGCACGTGCACTTAAACAACCTCTAATTGCTAAACCAGGAGGCAGAACCGCCACACTGAACGCCACGTTCCCCCGAATTTCCCCCCGTTTCACTCCAACGAGAAAAAGTCTGCAGAAGCAAAAAATATTTATTTTATACAAATGAAAAAAAGAAGTAGGGAAATAGCACAATCATGCAACAATTTATCAATTGTAACATAATAAAGAAATCTCTTTTCGCCAACCGGTGTACTAAAAGAAAATTTAGTACAGTAGAAGGCAGGATCTTTTAAAACAAGTATAAAAAAAATACAGTATAGCCAAACGTTCAAAATAATTTTTCCTTACGAAATTTCAGCATCGGCCATTATAGTCATTAAGATCTACCGCGTTTTCGCGTCTCCCTACACGGAGAGAATATTGTAGTAAAAATTACAATACAATCTTAGTAATCCGGGAATAGACTGTTATGAAAATTATAATAAAATATTAAAAATGAAATAGTAAACATAATTTTTATTACATTTATGGTAATTTTTACTATGTTTATAGTCATTTTTACTATGTTTATACTCATTTATACCATATCTTATTATAATTTTCATAATGTAATTGTATTGTATTTTCCCTCCGTGTACATTTGTCTTTGCAAGTAGAACGCAATTCTCTAAGGGTAGTTTATGGGTTAGGGAGGTTGTGAAGGTATACTGATAGCCAGCTAGCTACACGCATGTCGCCTCGCGAGCTCTCACACGTACGCGTCGTGTCGAGTCCGTGAGATCTCGCGGGGGCGAACAACGTGACGAGCGGCGAGAAGGAAGCGAAACGATCGAAGGAGACGGATGGTAAGACAGGATAAGCAGATATTAACCGGGTTCATGAAGGGTGCGACGCGGCGGGCGGGCGGGATACTGCGTAGCAACCAGAAGGGGTTTGCTCGCGGCTTTCCTTCCGTCAGGATCCTCCTCCACCCTCGTGTGCGAGGAGGCCGAGGAGGTACGCCGAGGTGGTGGAGGAGAGGAGGCGCCTTAGCTCTGCCGCTTTCTCGCTGTCGGAAACGGGGAACCGGGCTTCCCTTATCTCGAGTCTGCAAGACTGCCTCCGGTAATACCGTGCGCCGCTAGAAACCCTTACGAGCGAGAACCCCGTGAAATATCGCTAAACGGCTTGGTACCCCTTTCCCGTTGCCTCTTCCACTTCGATCTTGCCAACAGAGCGACGATCTACTCCCGTCTTTTCGAACACTTCGCGCGGACGAGCGTCCTTTCGCACTGGCTCGTCTTCCTTCACTCTTTTTACCCTCGTGCCATCGCTTCTCCAAAAAAGTCACTCCCGTTGGCGAATTATTACGCATAATTATATCCCAATAATGATCGACATACGAAAAAAAGAAATGTCAGTTTGTATTGAATGGGGACCGGACGAAAAACTCGCGGACGAGAAATAATGTCTCTGTTATTGCGAAAATATTCGGAATATTCAGCTGCATTAAAATTCATCCTGTACACCGTTTTACAATTCAAGATTCTTTATTTCTTTGTAAAATTTAATTTTCGGCTCGGTTAGTTTGATTCGGTCCACTCAGTGTTAGGGAAACGGAATCGCGACCTGTATCCTTCGTTAAGGAATTTTATATCGTCATCTGTCGAACAATCGGGGACACGTCGAGTTTAGATTTAGGCGGGCATCTCTCATTGCGCGGGACGCGAAGTCGGGCGACAAGAAAACGGCGCAGACGAGGAAACGAACGAGAGCGCGCTTCATTATACGCGACGCCGACACGCTTCGTTTGTCCCCGGAAGTTGTGCTTCAGGAGGGACGACGTCGACGGCGACGTCGACGGCGCGGGGACCGAGACGCACGGACGAGGCGGAACAGAAGGGAGAGTGAGGTGTAAATGGGGGGCGGGGGCAGTGGGGACGGCTTGAATTAATACAATCACGCGGGGGTGGCTCACCACTCGCAGTCCGTGGCGAGAGGGTGAGAAGCAACGAGAGATAACCACCCCTTTGCTTGTCATCGAAATTATACGCTGCCAACACTCGACCTCGTTTACCATGCCATGACTTTCTCTCAGCCTCCTCCCTCCCTTCCTCCATTACGATGCGGCCGTCTTGTTCCTCGTTGTCCCTTGTCGTCTCGCCATCCTTTCCCCGCTTCTTCCCGGAGCCATGTGTACCAGATTTTCGACATCCAGAGAATACGCTCTACGTGTATCCGAGACGTTGAGTTACGAAACGAGAAACTAGATGCTCGTCACTACGTAACGAACTGTGAGAATGTCAACGTCATTAGCGAAGTTTCCATTCTCGCGACGGATTTTCGACTTGAAACTTTCGTCAGATGACGACCTTCACGGGTCCCTTGAGGAACAATCTAGCTTCAAGAACAAATTTAAAGAAAAAACAAAAATGAGCTGATTCGATTAGCGTTTGACTAAATACGAGATCGTCGTGTTGGCGGAGATCTGGATGAGCGTGTGACTTCCGTGACGAGCGCGACTCCGCGGACCTCGCGGAGAGAAAGAAACATTTCACTTCCCCGTGGGAGAGAGCGCGTGGAATCGGGTTACGGGGGTTTTTAATAAAATCAGGAGCCCGGCGAGGCGTGCCAAATGGAAATATGCACGTTCGGCCGAGAGATTTTGCGGGCGGGGTTGCCCGTTTGTAAAACGGGGGTGCGACTCGATAACGATGGAATTCACCCATCCATCCACCCATCCATCCCGCGGCGCGGCGCGGCGCGCTCAGAACGGATGAGAAAATTTTTTTCTTTCTTCATTTCCTTCCGCTTCCCTGAGCCTGTATCGTAATCAAGAAGACGCGGGGCGAATTAGCAATTCGATATCTCGCGCGAGATTTGCCGGGCGAGAGCCGGCCGGAGAGAATTTTCCGCGAGAGCGGCGATGCAGTGTCCCATGCAACGCGCGGATATCCAGTGGATCTTCTTGAATATCCATTAGACGTGTGCCGTAACGCCTCTATTATATTATATATTTCGCCATTATTTAATAACGTACGCTGAAGAAAAGATTTTCTTGTCGAAATGAAAATTTAATTAAGATGCACCAAAATGTTTGACAACCACAAAATTTAATTCTCGCTATTTGTGTTTTACTTTTTCAATAATACATGTACGTGACACAAGTAAAAATGGGAATGTCAACCAAACTGGTAATGTACCAAATTTTTAGTTTCATAAATACAAAAATTTTTTTATTGTACAAAGAAACATTTCATGTGAAATTACAACTGCTT